ACCTGCCGATACGGTGCGTTTCCTGTAAAACTAGCGGAAAGCAGGAGGTTTCTGAGCGAAGAACTAGAACTAAGGAATATTTCTGTGCAGTTCTGAGGTAGTAAAGTGGATTGCCGAAATGTGTTTTCGACACAAACAAAGGGTTGTTATATTTCTATAGCCTAATCTCAGTATATTTTATTCACGTTAGATTGCCGATTTTTGAACTAGCAACTGCCTGACGCCTGCAAATGTGTACTCTGTAAAAAAAGGACAAGTAAGTGCAGGTGACGCTTATTGGCTCACATTCTGGCCAGCTATCGTTTTAAAGTAGCATGCCCTTTTCTCATGTTTTTTCACTGCCCTAATACAGTTAAATATATAGTGGCAGATAGGCGCACACCGATCAGTAACAGGACACACTCATCCCGCTTGGTGCCTTTGGGGCTTAACCTCTAGCCACGCCGCAAGGCGGCTAATGATGTAAGCAGAAGGACATTACCGCAGGCATCCGCATAGCGACTTGCAATATTTGATGCAGTGGAACCAACAAAAACAAGGGACCGACTGGAATGGCCATGTCTGACTTATTAGCTGTCAGCAGCTACCCTTATCCGATCCCAGGTGTACATCATCCGAGATTCAAACCCGCGACTCGTTGGTCACGGAGTGTAACAGTCTACCATTGAGCTGTGGGTCTGTCGTTTTTGTCGGTTGCCATCAAGAACATGATGACAGTAGGGTGCTCATCGACTTGGTTAGGGAGCATGCTCTGCACTTCGTGCCATGCAGATCACACGTGCCCTCGCAGGCAGTCACATAGCGAATCTACTGCATCCTATATTACAAGTTTTATCATATAAAGCGTCCGGATGCGACTTCGAAATGGGGTGATTACTGTTCTAATGCAGAATTTTCTCCGTGTTTGTCGCTCTAAGAAACTGTTTAGATACATTCTTTACATAGTGGAGGATTTGCCGGTTTGTTTGTTTTGGCGTTTCAGCGGTCGCAGCTCTGAAAGTTTCTTCTTCTTTGCACTTTTCTTGTCGTATATATTTACGGACAAAGTCTGGAGGATACTCATTTTGGAAAAATAATTTGAAAAGGTATTTTATTCCGATTAGATATGCGCACTCAGTTTTTACACCCTACGGACAGTGTTGGCTATTTCAACAGAAAAGAAATCGTCCCCAAAATACTGTGTACTAGTTGTGATGCAGTATATTGTCGTTAAAACGGAAAAACCCGTAAGACCGAGCAGAATTGTACGCGACTCTATATTTACTCGATCACAGTTTACTGCACGAATGTTTGAGAAAATTCTAAATATTCCGTCTGTAAGCCAACTGAACCCGGTTCCAGTCTCAGGCTCCCCAACTTGCCGAGTTGGCTATTAAAACAGGAGAACAGAACTCCTCGTTCTTCCAT